ATCCCACAATACTCGAATCGAATACCTGCACGCGCCTATATGACGTGTAAAGTCCACATCTTTGATTACAATGAGGTGGTTTCGCGCTCGGAGAGAAAACGATTCGTAAACGAGACAAAAAATTGCCGAGGCTATAAAATACAATTGTCGAGTGTGTACGGTTCAGCCTTAAATGATGGATTTACAGTACGATTGCCATGTCGATTTAAAAATGTATGACGCTTGATTTAACTGTGCACAAAATGTCCTCATTTTATTTTTAACGAAAAAAATGTTTTCTTTTAATAATTTGTTGGTCATTTCATCTTTCAATAGTAGATTAATTTTAATCTCGGTTTACTTTTTATTCTTTTCTATTTTTTAAAGCTAAAGGATAAACAAGTGAAATCGAGATTAATGTACATTAAGACTCAGCTCTCTCGCTGTAGTCATATTGAATTATGACGTCAGAGGCGAGAAATAACATGTAAAAAGTTTCTTGCGTCATATAACCTTATTTTGTACTTTTCCCTTAAAATCATATTTTCGTATTCTTAAAATTTGTAAAAAATCACCAGATCACTAGAGTTTCTAGTTGTTTCTGATAATTGAGCAGTAATCATTATTTCAAGAATTTTATACTTTTACGTGATTGGACAGATATCTTACTTTCTGGTATTTTTTACAAGTTTTAAGAGTACGAAAATATCATGTTTTTAAAGAAAAAAATACAAAATAAAGCTATACAACGCAAGAAACTTTTTACATGTCATTTCTCGCTTCTGACGTCACACAACCCATGTCGCGCCGCGAGAGAACCGAATCTTAATGGAAATGGATATAAAATTTGTAATTTATTACATTAAATAAATTTCACGTAATTCACAAAATTTTAATGTCATTAAAAGAAAATATATCAAGGATTTTCTGCACACAGCTAATTTGTCTACCATATGCTTTTCGTTTGAGGTCAAGAGTTATATAAAGTATATATATATATATATGAAACTGTTTATATATCGCTCTTCCGAGAATCGCAGCACCGGATCGGCAGCACCCTTTCGTTGCACTTTGACAGACGTAGGTGTATTGTGTCGGAAAGCCAAAAGAATGTCTCGTGTTCCTTCCTTTCTGTCCGTGCGAAACTTACATGCGACATTACTATACTGAGCACTAGAAGAGATTATCCTTAAGTACTAGGTCAGTCAAGGTAATATGCAATAATAAAAAAAAAAGACACTGTGTATGTATACTCTATTATCGAGTGTAGACACTGGACAGAGGAATTCGCCGGCGCTTGCGAGAGAAAACAGTGAAAAGTAAGAAAAGGCAAATTACGGCAGATCGAGTTTGCATCTTAGCAGAACCTTGTCTTTCCGTGGCCGCAAGGATAGGATAATCAGGTACTAGGAACAGCCCCATACGGAGTCCCGATCCTTTGAGATGGGAAAGACGCGATCGATCGAGAAATCTGTTGGAAAAACTGTTTTTTTTTCCCCCCTAAAAACCTTTTTCCTAGTTTTGCAGAAATCTCGTTTCATTTTGTCGCAGAAACTCACTTAAAGTTATGACAATTTCTACATCGGAATCAGCAAGCTGATATGATATAGCTATATATATATATATATATATATATATATATATTATAATTACAATAATTATAGCTATTAAGAATTATTATGTTAATAGTTATTTAACCACGTGTATGGCTCAGTCTATTAAGCTAGTCTCATGCAACAACAACAATAAAGATACAACAATATATTTACTTGTGAGTTTATCGAGTTTTTCGATTCACGTCGCTTATTACTTTGCATTTACTCTAATTTGCTCATATATTCTTCTTTCTTTTTTTTTCTTTTTCTCCCCCCACTGTTTTTCTTTATCTATGATCACCTTGTTACTACATATATCGCCAAGCATACGTCTTTGCACTTAATTTTAGATAAAAAAGATTTTTTGTATTATTTAATATAATAATTATGTATAAATAGACATTCTCACTGTTATTTTATAATCATTTATATATTACCTCGATCTTATCGTGATTGAGAGCCTTTTTCGATTGTATTAAATATGTAATTGCGAGCCACATGATATCTCGACGAGAGACGAGAATGTTTATCGACATGAATGCATGGGCGAACCAAGATTTTTTCGGAGAGGAGGATTCTCAATTCTGTTAACACATAAACAGTAATTTTTTTGCATTAATAAATTGCTTTTTTTAATATTTTAAAAGAATATCTCTTAGAATATCTCCACGTTTCTGATTTTAAATAAGAAAAATATTAAATTTTGTAAATTATAACTTTAACTTTTTTTTTTATTTTGGGAAGAGGATTTTAATGTTCCTTAACCATTCTTTTGGATATACCCATGCATGAACGTAGTCGCGAATACCAAAACTACATGGATTGAAAAGGAAACAACGTATTTACAACCGCGGGAGGATACACGAATATACTCTAGATTCTATTGCGATAAGAAATTTCGCGCGGCGATGGATCCGACCACCGACGAAATTGACCATTTTAGTGTAGGAACTATCGAGGAGAAAACGATATAACTTGTATATAAAAAAAATTAATCTCGTTAGTCACTATCGAAAATTCTTAAATGTAACATACTGAGAGAAGTGAAGTGATAATAAAGTCGATTGTTATATGCAATATTTACACACACATATATATATATATATGTATATATGTATATTATGTATATGCTACATATACATGTATATATAATATATATATATATATATAAAGAAAAAAAGAAACGTGATTGCGAATTTTCGTTTAGATCTCACGTCGAGTGGCATGTGGCTCGGGTTCGGTTTCCGCTTTCCCTTTCCAAGCTCTTAAGTAATTATAAAAAACAGTAATATCACAAAAATTGCGCAGGCAGGGCAAGGAAAGGAGCCAGAGTTATGGGATAAAATTATGACAATATACATATATATGATATCTATATTGCCAAGTTGACGAACGAGTGTGGATCGAGTCAAGGAGCGGTCACGGAATTTGTCTACCGCGCGTAATCTATTGCGCGTGCCATAAAAATGCAACGGACCGATGCAGAATTATCCTTATTTAATGAGCAACTACGAGGAAATACCTTCGTCGTCGCGTCGTACTCGACAACTCGTCGATTCTTCAATTCCTCAATATTCAAGATACATATCCATGTCTCTTTTCTTATCTTGCAGCTACAAAGAATGGAATTTCAACATAATTCCTCTTTTCGAAGACATCTGTCTCGCCCGCGCTAGTTCAATTCCCGCCAGTCGTTAAATTTTTTTATTGATGGATTTTAAAGTTTGATTGACAATGGCGACTTAACGATGGTTAGTAGTATCTTTTTTTCCAGATTGAGCCGTTTCCTTCGTTTTTCTTCTCTTACTTGGTCTGCGTGTGTGCGAGAAAATGAAAATTAAAACGCAGCTCTTTCCTTTATGTCGTAAAACCATTCAGAAATATCGCTGTTGAAGGATCTCGTAGCTTCGTGTCTGAGATATTTGTACATATATACTCAATTATTGATAATACATGATGATATTCTTGTCACAATGCTAGTAAATCATAGAATTTTTTTGTATTTTTTTTTAAGTAACGACCGAGATAAAAACGCGCATCACTTTAAGATAAAAGGACTTGCTTACTTTCTTTTAACTGGCCCAAGCAAGTGGGACTGGAATGACAGTCTACTCTTTTCTTTCTTTCTCTTTCTCTCTCTCTCTACAAAAAAAAATGATTTAAACGCAAGATTTCTTTATCCAAATGAATTATCGAGATCATTATATATCGCGCAAATAAAATTAACATTGCCATAGATTTCACGTCATAGATTCGCTTGCTCTGTGAATCGCATCTGTAAATCAATAACTTTTTTTTCTTTATTTTTGATCGATGATTAAATAACGTCAACTCTCGAGAGACTTCGGATAGATCGGAAAAGATTTGAAATATCTATTATGATTAACAAAACGTCCATTCTAAAATGTATTTACCTATATTTACACTAATACTAATATGATACTAATTTAATATGTTTAACAAAAAAGTAATCACAAAATGGTCTGCAAGTTAAAACATCGTATCATGTCTGGCATACGTACATGTGCATATAACAAAATGCATAATATGTGTATATACATATATGTATATATACATACGTACGCATACATTTGAAATGTTTTACACATGATGACAAAGTTGTCGCGTATAACCTAATATCACAATCAGCAAGGGAGAGAATAAAATAAGCAGAAAAATTTTGGTTCAAAAATGACGGAATGGCACTTTCTGCGTTTATCATCTTTGTGTGTGAATGAGTGTATGTGTATTTTCTTTTTCAACGTATAAAAATACAATATTCTCGAAAAATCCTCTGTACACTATGAAATTTCTAATAATGTACTCTACCTTGTATCATATTTATTATCAAATAAGTAGTTCTACCTTGTTTCTAAAACTCTACAAACACATTCGAGTAATCTCTCGCTTTCGCGCGTACTCTTTCTCTCTCTCTTTCTCTCAAAGAAAATAAAGGAGGAAAAAAAGAAGAAAGGATCAATATCTATCGTATAAATTTTCGATCACAGTATTTGTGCGATCTCTATAACGTGAGATCTATGATAAATTCTTACATCCAACTGTTCTTGTAAGTTGGTTGCTCAATATAATAATATACATATATCTAATTATATTAAAGAGCTGGGGCAGAGTTGGCCATGGCGCCAGCATTTGTCACGTTTCGACATACGCGAGAATCAAATAACACTTTCACGCACAGTGTTACGCGGTAGCGCTAATGGAAACGGAGTATACGTCGGTACGTTCGAGGTATCGTCAGATTGTTGTTACGCAATACCTCATCCCGTCTCTCGAAATGTGTAGTCGGTGATCCCCACAAAAATCCTCCCTCCCACCCTGAAATAAATCCCATCCCCGCCCGCCCACCCACGCGTTTACTTTTTCGGCCAATGCTTATCTCTTGTCGTTCTTGCCTTTTAGTTTCGACTCGACTAATCTCTTTCCATTGCCCTCTTTTACCAGCCTCATCGGCTGCCGAGACTTAAAAGGCACGGCGTGCCTCTTATCGTTCTCCCCAAAAGCACGACGGTGACATACCATGGTGATACGGTAACGACAACGATGTTGATGAGAAGAGGCCGTGGTTTCACCCACCCGTCCCATCCGCCCTTTGTTTCCCGCCCAACCCCATTCGGCCTGCTGCATTAAGCGGCCTTCTGAAAACAGACATGAGAGAACAATCCTGTCAATTTATCGACTAAATTCGGATAATAAAAAGAAAAAAAAAGAAAAAAAACATAAAGATACAATATGACAATGTTTCAAGAAAATCCTCTGACTTACCGCTTTTAGGCGGAGCTTTTCAGACGCCGTACATATTGTGAAGCCGCTCACTTAACTGTGGCGGGAATTGATCGGAGAATCGTTTCCAGTTCTCCTCACCCACTTGATTTTTGAATGTAAATAATATCTAGATATAAAGAGATAAGTGTAAAAAAAATCGCGCAAAAAAATATTGAATTCGCTGATTATATGGCGATCGTTTTTATACCTTCTGAAACATTTCTTTAAGATCTTCCTTCGGTGCGGACCATGATGCCACAGCGTCGCAGAAGAAGATAAAGTCCGGAACAACACCGGCTGGGTTGACAGTGATCATTTGACACATACCTCTAAAGGCGGAATCTTTCTCTTCGTTATCTCTTATGCTTCGCAAAGAAGTGCACCTATTAATAAATTTATAATCGACAATCTCATTAAACATTGTTCGACCTTCTTGTTCAATTGGAAAATACTTCGATCAATGAAATACGCGAGATTTTATGGCATTCACTAACTTTAAGACTATTATGTTTTGTTCAACGATCTGCAAAAATGTTAATCTTGTTACCGAATGATCGAAGTACCTTTCTTTAGATCGTAATAGTCACATATAGAGATATATGTATATAATATGGCTCTGGAAAAAATTGAATAACTAGCCATTTACTTTCATTCCCACAATTCACACATAGATGTCTTTTTTTTCTTAAATTGCATTCGACGAGAGGCAAAACGGTTGGCTTACTGTAAGGCTAGTCTATTACGATAATTAGCACTCTTATTTCATACGTTTTATGATTCGAAAAATTATCAGATTAATAATAACAGATGTGTACATACAAAATTTACATACGATCCTCAAAGTCAACGTTAAATTAGAATTTACATTAACGAACGGACGAAAGTACACTAATTATTGCAAAAATTAATCCCTAAATTATAATTTAGCTAGCCTAAAACATTTATGTAATAATGTAATATATACGTATATATATATGTATCATATAATTATATTGGGATATATGACTGGCGTCATATTTCACTTACTGTCTCATTAAGGCTGGGTTTACATTTGACGTTTACAACACGGCACATTGTGTAATTGAAACAAACGCAATCCGACAGAAATCGAGATACCAAATTACCAGCATGCAAAATGTAAAAAAAGAAAATTTTTAATCGAGAAAAATTATATGTGAGGTATCCGCGATTTTCCGGAGGCAAGAGATTTAACGCGGCGACAGGTAAGTGTGACAAATGTAAACCTATCCTAATCTTGATTCAGATAAACAGGAGAGCCCGTAACACACTTGCATGGTGGCAAAATAAACATTAGAATTACATCATATAACGAATTGAAATATAAGATGTTACTGCGAAAAACCATTGAGCAAGTTTCATGCTGGCATACTGCAGGGTGACAGGCGTTCCCCATTAACACACAATCATCTCCACCTCGCCATAACGCGAGAGAGAGAAATAAAATGATCCGTGGTTTTTGCAGCGTGGCTCACAAATAATGTTCTTGCGCAAGAGTTCTTAGCAGCCCCTGATGCAATCACTCAGGAATCGGGAATGTAATAATGTATAATAATAAAGAGTGCTAATAAAAATAGAAGATAATATAATTAATAGAATAATAATATAATAAAGAAATTTACACACCACTGTCGGACAAACTGCTGTAACATGGGGGCGACGTCGTGGGGACACACATAACCTAGGCGACCGATCGTTATGGCTACGGTTTCATTTTCGGTTTCGGTAAGTAGACAAGTGAAGTGTAGTGAAGTGACCGGAAACACAAACAATAAGACAAACTGATAGAGAACCAACGATCAACTCAGGCGAAGAAGAATATATATATGCTCCGCTTATAACTTCCAATTAATAATTTTCAATTAATAATTCAGTTAATTAAGAATTAAGTAACATTAACAATTAATCGAAGACAGTGAGAACACAGGTGAAACATATGAGATACCGACAATGAAACATAGGCAATACCGTGCTATTGTAGCTGCTGAAACAATAATCAAAATTAGATAGCAGCGTGCGAGCCCGTGTGATTTTGTATAATACGAACCGGTATACTAAATATCTCTCTCTCTCTCTCTCTCTCTCTCTTTCTCTCCTTCTCTCTCCCTCTATTGTATAAGAAATATATATGTATATATATGTCTGTATAAATAAGAGAATAATAAAGAGGAATAACAAAATTTGCATTATGATCTTTCAAAGGCCAATTCAAATAATTCAATAGAAATAATATAATCTGGGGCAATAGAAATATGTGCAAGCATATAGTATATATATATATATACACACACACTGTTTTTTTTTTTACATATATATATATACTGTATTGCAACATGTATTTTCGTGGCAATACAGTCGTATATGTATATATATGTTCAAGCTTACAGGCAGTCGCACACCACTAAATTAAGGTTCAATATACAAGTACTAATTGCTGTACTTAAACCTGTCGATAAAACGTGCAATCGCGATTCATGTATATGACCACGGTCAAGTCACTGAACTGTGTGGTTCGAAAATCGTTACTCAAAAAATTACTTAAAAAATAAAAAATAAAAAAAGAGAAAAACAAATACATGTATATATGCACCTAAGAGAGCTGGAGTGCCACCGAATACCATTCAATCTAGCATGAATAATGCTCTAAAAGTTACTGGGAGACCTTTCATTAAGTAACGATCGAAAGAATTTTTGTCTACGTAAAATTGTGCGTGATAATTATTATGTCGTAAGGCTAATCTCTGCAAATAAGAAATTTCCCAATGTGTACGAAGAGCACACAG